ACGAAAAACGAGGAGGAGGAGGAGGAGGAGGCGCTGCCCCAGGGCATGCTGTGTGGGCCCCCGCAGTGCTATTGCATCGTGGAGAAGTGGCGCGGCTTTGAGCGCATCCTGCCCAACAAGACGCGCATCTTGCGTCTCTGGGCCGCCTGGGGCGACGAGCAAGAGAATGTGCGCTTCGTGCTGGTGCGCAGCGAAGCGTCGTTGAAAACGAGGAGGAGGAGGAGGAGGAGGCGCTGCCCCAGGGCATGCTGTGTGGGCCCCCGCAGTGCTATTGCATCGTGGAGAAGTGGCGCGGCTTTGAGCGCATCCTGCCCAACAAGACGCGCATCTTGCGTCTCTGGGCCGCCTGGGGCGACGAGCAAGAGAATGTGCGCTTCGTGCTGGTGCGCAGCGAAGCGTCGTTGCCCAACGCCGGCCCACGCAGCGCCGAGGCGCGGGTGGTGCTCAGCCGGGAGCGCCCCTGCTTGGCCCGCGGAGCCCCTGTCCGGCTCAACCTGGCCATGACCCAGGAGAAACAGCGGCGAGTGGTCCGCAAGGCCTTCCGCAAGCTGGCCAAGCTCAATCGGCGGCGCCAGCTGCAGCCGCCGTCGCCCTGTTCGTCCACGTCGTCGTCCACCGCCTCGTCCTACTCGCCACCGCCGCGCGTCCCCGAAAGCGCGTCCGTGGAGCGCATGGAGACGCTGGTGCACCTGGTGCTGTCTCAGGACCACACCATCCGCCAGCAGGTGCAGCGGCTCCGGGAGCTGGACCGCGAGATCGACTGCTACGAAGCCAAGGTGCACTTGGACCGCATGCGGCGGCACGGGGTCAACTACGTGCAGGACACGTACTTGGTGGGGGTGGACGTCGAGCTGGACGGGCTCACCCCGGGAGAGGAGCCAGAGAAGGAGGCGGCGGCGGCAGCTGCGCCTTTGGACGGCGAGGCGCAGGCGGCGGCGCTGGAGGAACTGGCCAGGCGCTGCGACGACCTGCTGCAGCTGCAGGAGCAGCGAGCCCAGCAGGAGGAGTTGCTGGAGCGCCTCTCGACTGAGATCCAGGAGGAGCTGAACCAGAGGTGGATGGAGCGGCGCAAGGAGGAGCTGGCGGCGCGCGAGGAGCCTCCGGAGCCTGACGGCGGCCCGGACGGCGAGCTGCTGCTGGAGCAGGAGCGGGTCAGGACCCAGCTCAGCACCAGCCTTTACATCGGTCTGCGGCTCAGCACGGACCTGGAGGCCGTCAAGGCGGACTTGGATTACAGCCAGCAGCAGTGGGACAGCAAGGAGCGGGAGCTGCAGGGCCTTCTCCAGACTCTGCACGGTTTGGAACCTTCGGTGGGGCGGGATGGGGCTCCCCCGCGGGAACCCCGGCCTGAAGCCTGTGCCGAGGTGTGGGTGGACCAAGCCCGCGGACTGGCCAAGAACTGCCCTGGCAACGATGAGGACTCGGACACGGGGCTGAGCTCCATGCACAGCCAGGACTCGGACTCGGTGCCGGTGTGCGAGTCCCTCGTGTAGGAGGACAAGGAGGGAGACGCGGTGTCTTCCTGTCTCAGCGTGCATTGGCCAGGCTGCCCAGGCTTAGGGGAGTCAGGAGCTCCTTGGAGGAGGCCGCATCGCTGCGATCTGAGATCTGACCCGGGCGGTCCGGGAGGGCTGGGGATGCCTGCGGGGCAGCGGGCAGAGGCGCCCTTCTGGCTCTGAGTGAGCGTAGGACAAGGAGACCAGGCTCCTCCATTCCAAGGTCTTTGGAATTACTGGAAAACAAACACCCCCCGGGAAATTGACGTGGTCCAAGCCCATTTTCAAAAAGGGGGAAAATGTATTATGGAGATTTCACCACTCTTCTGTATGGGAAGGACTGATGGCAGCTAGAAATGTAGTTGCTGGCATAAAGTGCTCTTAGGAGAAACACTTGGATGAAAAGGAAATTCCTTGAATGTTAATTGTGACTGTAAACGTGTTGAAACTAGCCAAAGAGGACGCACTGGTGTTGGTCCCAGCCTTACCGAACATCTTTGATAAGACCCATAGGCACCACAATCCTGGCTGTTTACATTTCTGCGGATTGGGGAACTGCCCATCCGCTGAATTATTTGCCTTTTATTTTCGTTCAAAGGCTAAACTGTATCGAAGTCTAACTCTGCGTTTCCGCCTAGTAAAGACAATGTATGTTGTTAAAACGGGAGGCTTTTCCCCAAATTACCTTTTATTTTGACAGAAGCCAAACATAACCTGTTTGAGATCTAAAATCCTGGCAAACATAATCCCTGGTTAAAATTTAATCAGAGCGCTTTGGGATTTGTTCTTTGAGAGGCAGGTGTGTTGTCCTATAGTTCATAATGCTCCTTCATTGACTCGCTTGCTATTATTTCAGAAAAAAAAATAAATAAAAGGGGAGTCGCAGAACTCGCTTTCCACACAGAATTTGCTGTTTTAACGAGCACCAGTTTAAACTAAAACTTGAAAGCAAAGATCTTTGCATGGTGCTCAGCTTTTAAATGGAGCCCTGTAATTAGAACTAACCATGACCTCAACTCATTTTAATCAAACCCAAGTCTAACTTCAGTATCTTTGGTCAAAGGTGAGTTACTCATGCAAACTTAGAGTACTGTCACTGTCAAGGTTTACTTGATTAGGGCAAAAAATTTAAAAAAAAATACGGAAGTCTCATAGTGCACCTTGGGTGAGCAAGGGGATTAACCCAGGGCACAGCCATGGAGAAAAGCATATGAAAGTGAGCTGAGGCTTTGAACTGCCCTTGTCTGGCACACACCTGTGCCTGCTAGGGGCTATGGAGGGGGACACCTTCTCTGAAGCTGGTGGTAGAGCTGGTCAGCCCTCGGGGTGATCGTTGCAATAATTTCAGTGAAGACTTCTCAGTAGTAGCTGCTTGCTGGCCGGTCTCCCTCTGGAGCTCGGTACTTCTGAGGAATGCAGGATCTAATCTGTCCCGAGTAGGTAGCAACAATGGGGTGTGTGTGCAGTGCCAGATGGTGCAGGAGGTGCACTCAGCCCGGCGGCCAGAGGCCGGCTCCAGGTTCAGCAGGGCATGTGAAGGTAACTCCAGAGGCCTTGCTTCCTGGAGACGCAGATCCTCTGTCTGGGCTGCCACAGGAGCCTGGCTTCCTGACCTCCACTGGTCGCCATCTGCACTGTCTTCTTTCAAGGGACGGATGGTCCCACCTCCACCACCACTGCCGTAGTATTATGGCATGTGTGCCTGTTCTTGGATTTTCAAGTAAAACCAGAATTAAAAGGCTGTTTTCTAAGTAGATGTTTTCCAAAGACCTAATGTGGCGTGATTTTTTTTAAATTTTATTTTTTTTAAGTTCCCTCTGATTCAGAAACACGCGTGTGTTTAGTCTTGAGCATGATGACAATGAGGAAAGGCCCGAAAGAAACCCACTGTGTTCAGTTTTCAATCCCATAAACACAAAGCCAACAATAGCTTTCATTTTGAAGCTGAGGTAAAATCCTCATTCATGTGTGACAAATGCCGCTTGTCTGAATGGCTTCTGTGGGCACTGGGCTGACCTGGTGGTTTTTGAATTACTGCCCTCCCCCCAAGGTGGGAGGAGAGGTGGTTCTTGGATGTTTATTAACTCAGAAGACAGACGTTGGCAGGATAGGACTTCCTGGCAGAAAGGAGCTGTTTTCCTTTTCACTGTTATTATTTTAGACTTTGATGAGCTGCTGACGTCAGCAAATATGCTCAAAGCCTGTAAAGCAAACAAGCCACATCACAGCGAGGAGAAGGCCCTTGGGTATTCTGGGCTCCGCTTCTAGAACCTTCCCTACCCTGACCACCTGAAGCTGTTTGCCTAGTCAACTCCTCAGGCAGCCCAGGAGGCTTCATTTCTAACAAAGGACAGCCCAGGCTGCCCATTTTTGCCTTCATCCAAATCAATTATGTTCCTCAAAGGCACTCTCTGTGTGGGTAGGAGAAAGGAGGATGGGGGAGGAAAGAAGGAGACAATAGTTCCTTTTAGGAAGAGCTTTTGCAAGCCCAGGAAAGGTGCAGTGCCAGTGCAGGGACATGCTTGATAAATACTGTTTCAACTTTGGTTCACCTGTCTAGTCATCACTACCTGAGGACTTCATCCAGCTTCAGGATGTCAGAACCCCTGGGAAAAAAAGAGACTCCAGCCTCTCCAAGGTCCCGGGGAGGAAACAGCAAGCTTGAGGACAGGAGGGGAACACATAGGCTCCTCACCAGCTAGCCCCATCCTGTTTTTGGAATTGAAACAATCTATTATATTTTTAAAATCTGAATTATTCCATTCTCAGCCATCTCTCAAAACCAGTGATTCCATATGGTGTCTCTAGGTTTGTTTACTTCCTTATATAAAATGTGCTTTTATTGTTACTATTTTAACCAGTTAATAATGTCCTTGGGATGAACCTGAAAATAATATGAATACAGAGAAAGAAAAGTCACTCTATTATCTTTTATCACTAAAAAACCTGACACATCACAATTCAGCACATTTCCTTTGGGATTTGTTGAATTTTGATGATTTCATGTTTTGCTTGTCTTAAAAAAAAATAGCAGAATGTGCTTACACACGTCTGTAAGCCCAGCACTCTGATAGGCTGAGCAGGAGGATTACAGATTCAAGCCTGGCCTGGGCAACTTTGCAAGCTCATGTCTAAAAAGAAAGAGAGAGAGAGAGAGAGAGAGAGGGAGAGAGAGAGAGAGAGAGGGAGAAAAGCAATTCTGATAAGGTTGCATAAATGCTTTGATATTTAGCTTTTGGAAGACACCTTGTCAGCAAATTCATCTGGTGAGTATACCATAGTTATATAACTTCTCAGCTTGTATTACTAGGTTGTTTCCCATATTTCTTTACTATTATAAAATAACACCATGATAAGTTTATTTGTGCATGTATCTGTTTCCTAAATATACTTTCTCCCTCTCTAAAGTAAGATAGGTTCCCAGAAAGAGAATTCTCCAAAGAGGACAATGAGAGACTTAATGCTTAATTGCTAAGTTGCTTTTCCAAAGGGCTATTCTAAGTACAATAAGCTATGTATGAGAATGGCTATTTTACCATTAGTTTAGCTTTCACTAAATATTCTATTTTGCTTAGAAACTATTTTAATTAAAATTAATTAATTAGAGCTGGGGTGGTGGTGCACACCTGTAATCCTAGCACTTAAGAGGATGAGGCAGCAGGATCTCAAGTTCGAGCTACACAGAGGGACCCTGTCTCAAAACAAACAAAAAACCAAATTCACTGTGGGGTTAGGAAGCCAGGGCTGATAGCCATTATTCTAAAATATCCTTACAACAGCAAGGGTGAGTCATCCGATCAAAATTGCTAAATGAAATGTTTCTTTCCTTTTCCACCTTCCTGGAGCACTTGTTTTTAACACACAATCTCGTCTCTATCAGAATTGACCAGAGATCTAAGGATAGGAAGGGTAAAAACTCTTCACAAGCAGGATGAAGGTGATAACAAATAGGATAAGTTAGAATTTCAGAAAGAATTGTCTTTTTCATCTTGAGTTTAGTGGGAAAGATAATTCTGAGAAGGTAATGCTATAAAACATTTGATGTTTTTGCTTCTCCCAACTTACCTCGAAAAATTAAAGCTAAATAAAATAAACACCATAAGCCCAGTTGTTTCACAGTCTCAAACAGTTGAGATTATCTAGGATTTTCTTTTTCTAGAGATGACACTGCATTTGAGATTATTCTTAAAACTCTTGAAAAGGCAAGATTTGGGTAATGATAGTCTGAAATCCCCCGTGTGAAATACTTTCCAAAGTTGCTTCCCTGCACAGAAAGGAAGGAGGGTGAGGAGGAATCCACTTTCCAAATGCCAGGTCCTTGCACCAAGTGCTCCCAGGTGCAGCCTCCCTGCATGTATCTCCTGCAGTCGAACTTCCTCCTTTTCTTAGTGTATGTTGATGACACCTAATAAATATATTCAGAGTGGGGAATTGCCATAGGTACATAGTGCATCTTGATTCTTTCTACTTCCCCTTCTCCTCCCTTCCTTGCCATCTCCCCCATTCCCAGATTCCCTTCCCAGCAAGATAGAACTTTTAAACATCCAGTTTTTACAGACAAAAGTCAACGAAATTCCCAAGCTGCTAAGTAGGGGATGCAGGCTCCCGACCCAAGCCTGCCACACCTGGGCCCTGGGTACCACACACACGTAGTGTTTGGCCCTCCTGGATAAAGAACTCTTATAAACTCACACTGTTGGCATCTGAAAGGCTTAGAATGATCAGGCTTATCCGGGTGTCTCCACCAGGGAGGCAGAGTGATTTTCCTCAAACCCCAGAGCTAGTAATTATCTACAAGGTGAGGACTTAAGCAAAAGGCAGAGGAAGAGAAATTCCTGTGTGAATTTCTGGGTAACTGTCTATGAAGAGTCCTTTGCCAGTAGAAAAAAATAAAACACTCAAAAACTTAAAACCAAACAACTCTGCAGGTGCACCATCAACAGCATGGAGTCTTTGGCCACCAGGGCAGACAACTGTGTGCTTGTCATAGTCACTTCTATAAGGTGGTACCAGTGTATCTGTGTGGGAGCTTCTTTCTGGTGGGTCTCCGGTGCAGGAGCATCAGCAAAGAGTAGAGGGAGGGATGGCCGGGCCTCACAAGGACCCTGGTGCCAGAGAGTTGGCCATGCACACCTGGCTCTGGGTATCTTTGGCCGTGTCCCCGTGACATGTGGAGATTAGTATGGGATGCTTTGAAGGACCACTGTCTCATCCTCTCCCTTCTCATGCTGTTCCCACACACATCTTTGAGTCATTTCTAGGCTGTCCCATGGCTTTCTGGATGACCTCCACATTTCTTAGCAAGATTTCTAAAGTTATTAGTCATCTAGCCCCAGGTCAATTCAGGTCCACCCAACACTACTAAAGACTACAGAATTAAGTTGATACTATTTCTTCATTCGGACCGCACTGCCACCTTCCATTTGTGAAAGGATCCTCTTCTATCTTATTTTCCTTTGTGTCATGTCAAGGCAGGGAGTACATGGTGGAACAAACCATTCATTTAATGGCTTGGAGGTGGAGGAAAGAAAGGAGGAGGAAAAGACAAGAGTCCCCTTTGAGGTCATGCTTCCAGTGAATGACCTACAAACTTCCCACTAGGCCCTGCCTCAAATAGTATTCACTGCCTCCTGATAGTATCACGCAGTGAAGCAAGCCTTTAACGCAGGGAACTATGGGGGACACTCCAGATCCAAATGGGAGCAAGCAGCATTGTCACCTGGACAATGTTAAGTCTTCCAATCCACAATCAATGGAATGAATGCCTCTCCATTTATTTGTCTGTAATTTCTTTCCATGGTGTTTTGTAGTTTTCTCATGCCTCTTTGTTAAATTTGCTTCTAAGTATTTTATTCCGCTTGATGCTATATCCAACGAAGTTGTTTTCTTAATTTCTTTTTCATGTTGTTCATTGTTAATGTGTAGAATGTTTGTGATTTTTGTGTGTTGATTTTGTATCCTGCAACTTTGATGAACTTAGCACTGAGAGTTTCTGTGTGTGTATGTATGTACGTGTGTAATCTTTATTATGCTCTGTGTATAAGATCATGCCATTTGCAAACAGATAGCGTTACTTTTTCATTTCCAATTTAGATTCCTTTTATTTTATTTTTTGGCCTAATTTCTCTGCCATAGGACGTTCAATACTATGTTGACTAGAAGTGCTGAAAGCAGGCATTTTTTTTTGTATTGTTCGTAAGCTTAGAGAAAAACTTTTCATCGAGTATAATGTTAGCTGTGTGGTTTTTGTTGTTGTTGTTTTTAGTACATAGCATGAGCCATGTTGAAGAAGTTACTTTCTAAATAGAGGAAGGATGCTGAATTTTCTTGGTTGTCTCTTTTGCAGTGAGGTGGTCATGTGTTTGCCTTGATTGATTTTTTTAATACTTTTTATTTTTATTTTTTTCTGGTACTAGGGATCGAACTCAAGTTCTTGTGTTTGCAAGGCAGGCGGTGGAACCACTGAGCTAAATCCCCGGCCCCTTTGTGATGCTTGTTTAATTCCCTTGTTGAGAGTGTGTTAGTTCTCACATATTATGAGTTTTTTAGTTTTCTTTGTTATTGGTTTTTGGCTCCATTCCATTGTGATTAGAAAAGATAATTTTTACCATTTCAATTTTTTTTAATATTCCTTAAGACTTGTTTTATGTCATCTATGCTGGTGAATATTTCATTTACACTTGCAAAAATATGTATTAGAGTATTGTTGGATGTAGTGTTCTGTATATATCTCTTAGGTATAATTGAAGTATGGCATTATTCCAGTCCTCTATTTCTTTATTTCTTTTCATTATTGAAAGTGTTCTATTGTAGTCACAGCTGCTTTTATAGAATTATTTCTCCCTTGAAATGTCAATATTTGCTTCATTATTTGGGGTTCTAATATTTAGGTCATATATGTTTATAAATGTTATGTCTTCTTGGCAAATAGATCCTTTTGTCAATATTTTAATGTCCTTCTTTGTTTCTTGTAACTTTTTTTTTTTTTTTTTGGTACCAGGGATCAAACTCAGGACCTTGTGCTTCTGAGACAGATGTGGTACCACTGAGCTAAATCTCCAGCCCAACATTTTTTTTATTTTTTGGGCAACACGTTAAAAAAAATTTTTTTTTTTTTTTTGAGACAGGGTCTCACTATATAGTTGAGACCGACCTGGAAACTCACTATGTAACCCAGGCTGGTCTTGAACTCTCAGCAATCCTCCTTCCTCAGCCTCTCAAGTGCTGGGAGTATGGGCATGCACCACCATGCCCGGCCTTGTAACACTTTTTGACTTACAGTTTCTTTACTGTAAGTCTTAAATGTTCCCCATAAGCTCATGTATTGAAGGGTTAGTCCCTAATGCAGTAGTGCTCAAAGGTAGAACCTTTGGAAGGTGATTGGGTCATGAAGGTTCTGACTTCATGAATGATGTCATAATTTAACATGCTATTGGGAGGGGGAGAAACTTTAGGAAGTGGGGTCTTGTTGGAGGAAGTAGGTCATTAAGAGTAAGCCATCAAAGAGTATGTTTTGTCCCTGGTCTCTCTCCACTTCTCCTTCCAGCTTGCTATGAACCGAACAGCTTTGCTTCACCTCGTGTTCCCCGTCGTGAATTCTGCCTCACCACAGGGCTAAAAACAATGGAGCCACACAACTGTGGACTGAAACCCATGGAAGCCATGAACCAAAATAAACATTTTTTCCACCTTCAGGTTATTTATCTCAGGTGCTTTGTCACAGGGATAGAAAGATGACCAATACAGATACCATTTTCGTCTGACA